TATGGTGTCTATATGCAGTGTGACATTAATGCCACATATGTGATGCCCACAGTGTGTCAATCCTTAGGTCACACTATGATATTTTTCATTTGCCAAAACCTGCATATGTTGTATGGATACAACGGACATGATGTCACATTATAATGTCCACAATGACCCAACTCTGCATATGTATTTGACAAGCAGTGAGACATTGACTTCATATATATATATATACATATAAATATATTTATATGTATCAAAATTCTTAATGATATTNTTGCCAAAACCTGCATATGTTGTATGGATACAACGGACATGATGTCACATTATAATGTCCACAATGACCCAACTCTACATATGTATTTGACAAGCAGTGTGACATTGACTTCACACTATATGTATCACAATTTTTTTGTCATAAAATATATATATATATATACATATAAATATATTTATATGTATCAAAATTCTTAATGATATTTGTTGGGTTTATATAGTGCCTTCAAGCACGAGCAATTCAAATCTTTTTTTTTTCTCANGAATCTCTCTTTTTTTTTTTCCTCATGGTTATTGATGAAACAAATAGAGAAAGATATATAAACAATTTACACCTAAGAAAANAAATCTTTTTTTTTTCTCATGGTTATTGATGAAACAAATAGAGAAAGATATATAAACAATTTACACCTAAGAAAAAACAAATTCGAAGTTTCCATGAGATTGTACAAATAAACAAGGAAAAGCTCATTGCAAGGATTTGAAATTTCCAACTGCAATAAAAAAAAACCAATGGGCATAAGTTAGTAAAGATATAATAACCAACAATGTGNGAAAAAACAAATTCGAAGTTTCCATGAGATTGTACAAATAAACAAGGAAAAGCTCATTGCAAGGATTTGAAATTTCCAACTGCAATAAAAAAAAACCAATGGGCATAAGTTAGTAAAGATATAATAACCAACAATGTGAAAAGCAAAGTTTCCCTACTTTATCAAAAACTACAATCAAACAATTACAAATATTTCACATATTAAATATCCATCAAAAGCACATATGATAGATATAGGTAGTTTCCAAATAAATTATGGATAAAAGTCACCTTATATTAGTAATTCGAGCAAGGAAAACTCTTTATCTAAGACATTTCTATAAACAATTTATGTGCATACGAATAGAATGTGGATGGTGATAGGGGCTACAGGAAATTGAAAAAGAGAGAGGCAAGGGGATAAGTAGATAGTGAGGGAAGGAACAGATACTTGATGTCGTTGGCGTGGCAGTCGCTGAAGGGTGTTAATGGTGCTGACTTCATTATGGTCTTTAACACATAAAAACATAGCTTTCCAATGACCAAGACAACCTCCCTTTTGTCAGTGTTGGTTTATTTGTTTCACTCACCAAGCCGCATGAATACTTTCACAATGTTGATGAGTTCAATTCCAAANAAAAACATAGCTTTCCAATGACCAAGACAACCTCCTTTTTGTCAGTGTTGGTTTATTTGTTTCACTCACCAAGCCGCATGAATACTTTCACAATGTTGATGAGTTCAATTCCAAACCATATATTATCTATGTTCATTGCATAATCGTACTGTGAGAAGCGTCAGAAGGCCATGAGGGAGATGTTAGAGTGAGCATAGTAGGCTTAGATGAAGGAGGTCCATATGATTGGTCATTTGAGACATTTGGTCGAACAACTGGTGAGCGTGACAATACCGTAGACTTTTAATACAAAATGAGAAGCCTTACTTTGGTCTTGGAGGGCCACAACTACAAAGATCTAATTTGGCTTCCTTTCGGGACTTGAGTTCGTCGACGAACCATTTCGAGGGCGTTAGTGATGGAGGGCGCAATTATGCAATTGCTCATGCTTATTTAAGCCAAACATTTCTAAAGTCAATGAATGAGAAATTCAAAAAATAAGGCAAAACACCATCAGTTACACATTATCAAACAACTCGAATGCAAAAAAGTCAATAAAAATGATGATGTTTTTGGTTGTGCACAAAATGTAATTGTTAGAAACAACTACAAGAAATTACAACAGAAGCAATGGTTAAAAAGAAATAAGTATAAATCAAAATTAAACAACCAGATCCGAATTATATACAACATTAAATTGAAGGCAAGTGAGAGATAGATAGACAGAGAGAGAGGCAGAGAGAGGGATGCCTGGTGGATGGCGTCAATGGGTTGGCAACGTCGCTGGTAGTAGGTAGTGTCTCGATCAAAGAGATGAAAGAAAGTGGTTTGAGAGCATAGGAAATGAAGAAATGGGGGAGTATTTTGGGGAAGAGAGGAGGAGAGAGAAGTTAGAAGATGCGTCATGGGAAGATCAATATATGAACGTTGATAACATTGATGACTTGAGAGAGGAATAATTTAGAAAGGAGATCTGGAGAAAGAGAGGAGATTTGAGCGTGATTTTAGGGGAATTAAACATAGAAACTGGTGAGCGGGAAAAAGATTTCCATTAATGAATCTGGGACAGAGGTGTGAGAAAGGCAGAAGTGAGATTGGGTAAGATTTGAGAGATTTTGGAGGAGAGAGAGGCATGAGTCAAGAAATGTTATTAGACGGGAAAACAAAATTCACTATTCACTGTAGATCATCGAATTTAATATTTATGAGATGATATGAACCATATTTTATATTGGAATTACGCTGTCTATTGGATGTGTTTATGTTTTGTCTCAAAACAATCTGGATCTTTCTTTATCTCCAAAATTCAAATTTAACTCTATTTTATTATATAGAAGATATGTGTGTGTGTGAGAGAGAGAGAGAAAGAATTTTAATATAAGAAAACTCTAAAATAGTTTCCTTATTTAGTTTTTTCAATAGTGATGTGATAATGTTAGGAGTATTTTGGTCCTTTTGCTTCAAAGTGAATTTTTTGTCAAATATTTTTTAAATTTATACTTAAAATAAAATAAATTATAAAAAATGTACCGATTTCCAAAAAATTCATCTTTTTTTTGGTCAGGGGTCACTCCAATCTCACGAGCCCATAAAACAAAAACCAAAATACCCGTAATAGATATTAATTCGGATTTGGTTCGGATCCAACGTATATTAATTTATGGGTGTTAAATGTGTCGAGTTAGATCATTTCGTGTCGGGTTGATTTTAAGTTTATGTCAAAAATTCCATAACTTGAATCTGACATGTTTAATAATCGTATCGAGATGTGTAAACATTAACTTGACTAAGCTATTAAACGAGTTACCCGAACATGACATATTTAATACACAGATCGTTTTTAGGTTAGCACACATGGTATTTTGACCTGTTTAGTACACATAACACATACCTATTTAACACACATAACTTGTTTCTACACCTGTTCATTGCCATTAAATACATCATTCAATCATTCATCCAAAATTTCAAATAATTTTTTTACAAATAACATATCACATCTCATCAATGAAATTAACTAAATTGCATTTAGGGAGGCCGGTACCTCCCTAAAAACTTAATAGAATAAAAGTACACTTTTTAAAATTATTGGGATAGAAGTACATTTACTAAAAAAAAGCCATAAATGCCTTTTTACTCATTCCATAAATAGTGCATACCTAATTGAATGTGCGATTTTCAAGATTAGAAAGTGAGAATTTCAAGATTTCTTCTAATATTTGTGCATCATTTGAATTTTGAAAATTTCATATATATATATATAGTAACATATATATTTGTCCACTCAAAAAATTGTACCTAAAGAGGAATTCAAAAAATTGTCATGCAAATAATGTCACTAAAGAGAAACACGAGATAATGACAATGAGGGTCCAATCAATGACATCATGTAATGCCCCTTTGATAGTGCCCAAACAGTGTTAGTAAAGAATGACAACTAAACTATTGTTTGATATTACTATTTTTTTGTTGAGCGTGTTACTATTTGATATTACTATTTTTTTTTGAACGTGCTATTGTTTAATATTACTATATATGTGTGTGTGTGTGTATATATATATATATATGAAATTTCAAAATTCAAATGATACACAAAAATCAAAAGAAATCTTGAAAGTCTCACATTTTAATATTTAGATATTGAAAATATAAAAGTTGTCAATTAGATATGCACTATTTATGGTAGAGATAATTATAAAATATATTTTAGAAAAAATTTGAAAATATTTATTTATTGACAATTATTTGATAAAAAAAAAAGACTTAAAAGAGGATAAGTTTAGAGGTAGTATTTAAAGCCAAATAAGTTTTCAAAAAGGTACTAACATCTCATTATCTTAAAAATTAAAGTAAGAACTATATTAGTATACTGTCATAATAATGTTATGAACTATATTGCTAATTATCATAGTAGAAGCAAGAACTAATAAGCAATGATGTTAAAACCATATCAGTCATACATAATAAAAAAATTATACTGCTATAAACAGGTCTACGGTAAATTGAGTCGAGTTCCTGATATGAATTTTTTTTTTGTGTTTAAACTTGTTGACCTATTTTAGCCTATTAACTCGTTGTTGACCTATTTTAACTTATTAACCCGTTTAATTTCGTATATAGCCCATAAATTTCATATTCAATTTATACCGTGTTAACCTATTGTGTGATTGACACCCCTATATATTATCATGGACCAATTAAATTGAGAAGGCTGAGGGTACGGACCGTCAAACAATCACGCGCACATTAACATATGCCACTGTCGAATTTATTAGTCCAGGTAGGCGTTGCCTAGGGCTTGTGTGTCCGTACACGCACAGAACTATTCTATTTCTATTTCTATTTCTCCAGACCCCTCGGAGACGGTTGCGTACTGGACGGAGCTTTCCATCGCCGGCCTATTTCTGCGACTACTACTCACACCTTTCTCTCTCTCTCTCTCTCTCTCTATCCTCCGTCAGTTTCACTCTGTATATGTATGTGTGTGTTTGAGTATTGTTGCGTTTGTTTATATATAATCGGTACGTTTATCAACCATGTATGTGTTTGGAATTTGCAGGTGATTAAGGTTAAAGAATTGCTGTTTAGGGAGGAATGGTGAGAACTGTGAAAAGTCACTCGGAAGTGGAAGAAGATGATGATGACGAGTTCGTTTCGAGGACTCCCGATAGCTCTTCTCATAAAGGTACAGCATTGCTGCCTGCTCTGGTTTCCCTTACTTTCTCCCTCTTTCTCTACGGATATATATTTACATGTATCTGTATTTTGTCTAATCTTGTTAAATTGTTGTAATCGAAAGTGAAAGTAGATGGGAAGAACGGTGATCAGAAGGCGAACGTGCTTAGGTCGAAGCATTCGGAGACAGAGCATCGTAGGAGGAGCAAGATTAACGAGAGGCAAGCATAGTTTGGCTTAGTTAAAATACTTGCTAATTTGTAAAAATCTTACTATTTGGATAATGACTGCACACTACTATAGTAGGGTTGCTTGTTTTTTTATAATATAGATTATAGATGGGGCACATGGGGCTTGCTTCTTTCTTGGAAATTTCTGTATGCTTCAACATTGTGTTTAGTCCTTTCTGGCATGTGGACTGTGATTTTATTTGCTGAGAGGAAATCAAAATGCCGAGATATTGGAAGTGTTTGTTTCCCCTTTTCTGAAATTTAGTTTCAGTTTGGTGGAGAGGGATTTTTCCCAGCGGCATGGTGTTCACTTTTGATGGGAAGCCATTGTCCCAAAGTATTGGAAACACACTATTGGAGTGGGCGTTTCCGTGTGCCCTTAGGAAATCAGTTGTACATTACAGAAGAGGGTGCGTCTGGAAATTTGAACATGAGTTTGAATTTGAATGTATTTGTTATGGTTTAGGTTTGGAAGACTTTAGTGAGAGGTAAGAGGTGGTTAATTTATGCTCTTAGCAAGTTTTTCTAATGTTTTATCTGCTCCTGAACACTGTCTGTATTATTGAAGGTTAATGATCTCAATTTCAGAGAGTCATATGTATAGTATGTTTACTATGTTATGCACGATTCCACAGATGTTAGCAGTTTAATATGTTGCCTATGTCATTTTAAAGTAAAATTTGAACTTGTGGAAACAATAGCAGTGCAGTGGTTAAATTGCTGAATGTGGTAAAGTTCCTCTGTGTTGGGTATACATCATGTGTAGGTAGGTTGCACCCTTTTTACATTTACTTGAGCAGTGTGGGAGATTGGGGAATGGGTCGAGTAAACTCCCCCGGGGCCGGAAAAATCACAGACAAAAGGAAAACAATTTTTGNTCTTTTTACACTTACTTGAGCAGTGTGGGAGATTGGGGAATGCGTCGAGTAAACTCCCCCGGGGCCGGAAAAATCACAGACAAAAGGAAAACAATTTTTGATCGGAGGGAGCTCCTATAAGATCCTATCCCAAATTTTCTTTTGCTAGGCTCGTAGCTAAAATACCCATTGCACTTATTATGTAACAGAAAAATGAAAGAAAAACAAATTGAAGATTGCATTAATTGGAGATTCAATGACAGAAATTTTGATATGAAGATTGCTGTTTGTGCAAAAATTCAAGAAGTAAAAGCTGAAGGGATGTTAGTTTCAGTAGTCATAAAAGTTTATTGGCACTTAATTTGTTGGAAAAGTTTGGATGATATGTAAAGCAGGATTTTTATAATCAACCTAAATATTTTGCTCGCTTTATTGCATGGAGTTGAATGAATATACCGTGCAATTGACTCTCTACAAGGTGAGTATAAATACGCATGAGAATTTGTATGGAAGTCAAAAAAGAATTAAAGCTATCACATACCAACTATTTTTGAGCATTTGTTTATATATATCTTCTTCGTTTCTAATACACTTTCAATGAATATTGTTATGCAACGAGCTGATAAAATAAGATTAATGCAGATTTCAGATATTGAGAGACCTCATACCTCAAAATGATCTGAAGAGGGACAAAGCTTCATTCTTATTGGAGGCATGCCATTTCCTTTTAATACCTTACGTTGTTATTGTTGTAGTGCTATGTACTTCACAATCTGTTTGTTGAACTTTTTATCTCCAAATATTATGTACTTCAAACATAAGTTCAGGAGTATTAATGCTACATGCAGGTTATACAGTACATCCAGTTTTTACAGGAGAAGATGCAGATGTATGAGGGAACATACCAAGGTTGGAGTCCGGAGCCCTCAAAATTGATGCCGTGGGTATGTGTCTGGGTGGTTTTCTTTTGATTCAGAGCTATTGATTGCTTTGGCATGGTATTTTAGGTGGCATTGAAGTTTGTCTCTTTAAGACTTAGTGTGTTTGTTTTTTTTTTTTTTTTTTGTTCAGAGATGAGCACCGGTTTTGGTCCTAAGCGTATTATTTGTCACGTCTTCTTTGCAACATTATTTGTTTTCCCTTTTTCTTGTATTTGTATGCTGCTTTTCACCTGCGAATACAATGAGTTTGGTGCCTTCCATGTTATTTTCTTTGATAACACATATCTCATGCAATGTAATACTAGCCATGTGTTATTAAAGGTGTAACAATGCTTGTCATAGTGAAGATATTTGATGTGACTTGTTAGCTCTCTCTTTGTCCTGTGGTTGGTGGGGTTATTTATAGTGTACTATAAATTTTCCCAATTTTGCATTTTCCCCTTGTTTCATTTTTCAGCATTCCATATTTGTGGACACTTGGGCTGTAGAGTGTCTGTACTTGCATGCATAGGGTGATAAGGCGGGTTCATTCTCGTTTGCCCACATACTTTGCATTTATACTTGTTGATCGGTGTGAACCGATGATTGTGTGAATGAAGTGATATGTGTTTGAAAAATGTTTATATGGTGCCTTTTTTGGGTCAGTCTCTTTGTTTGTATGTTTGTTTTTCTTTTCGAAATATGCAAGGAATTTTGATTGTCGGTTTTTGGAATGAATTACACATATTTGGTTAATTGAGCAGAAGGATTAATAGTATGGCCATGGTTCTTTCGTATATAATGAAGGTTCTTTGATCTTAAACAGGAGCTGTAATATTCTGGTCCTATTGTTTTATTGTTGCTTTTTGTAGAAGAAAATGTTATGCTGATCTCCCCATCTGTTTGAAAACAGAGAAACACTAGCGGGCCCGCAGATAGCTTCATTGATCAATCTCAACTCATGAAGAATGATTCTGGTCATGAGGATAATACTTCTATCAACCCGGCATTGCTCACTAATGCTCAGAACTCGTTAGAATCTGATTTTGGTGGGGCTGCTGCATATAAAGCAATAGATCATTCCTCTGGGGCAGTGACCCAAGCAATTCCCTTTAATATGCCATTGCAACCAAATTTGTTTGATGCTGTTCCTGCCCAATCTCCTCAGAGATCTTTATGTGATGCTGAGCATCTGGCTTCGGAGTCCCGATCCCATCTTTGGCAGGGTAGACCATGTACAACTGATTGTGCTGTTCCAAGCTATGCTCCAAATGAGCAGGAAGAGCTGAAATCGGAAAGTGGAGAAGCTACCATCTCAAATGCCTGGTCCCAAGGGTTAGCATCTGCATTGAAGTTTCTGATAATTGTCATTCCATGAACAACGAAGTTTGGCCATTCAATTTCTGATTGCACTTAGATTTGTTTGCTTACTTGTTTGTATCCGTTGCTATTTGCAAAACTTGTTTAGTGGTGATGTAGGATAAGTGTATAGAATGCTCTCCCACAAACCATGGGTTGATTATTGATGGGGGAAAGCTTTGGCTTCACGGGTTAGAGTGTTCTTGTGGTTGAAAGATGTAGGTTCCTGTGCTTGATCTCATGTAAAAGGGTAGAAAAGAAGAAGAGAAGGAAGAAGGAATAGCTTCTAGGAATCCCACTTAGAGTTGTCTAGGAATAACATCTATAAGGGAAGTCTGCACATANGTGTAAAAGGGTAGAAAAGAAGAAGAGAAGGAAGAAGGAATAGCTTGTAGGAATCCCACTTAGAGTTGTCTAGGAATAACATCTATAAGGGAAGTCTGCACATAAAGCCTCACAGAAAAGTTTCAAAATTTATCTCCAATTGCCAAAACTCAAATCAAGTCTCATTCTATCAAGGATACGTAAGTATATATAGGTTGCTGAACTGAATTCTCTTACTCCTATTTGGGCTATGACACTGTAATTAGGGAACTAATGACTCTTTGAACCATAAACTGTTCTGGGAACTTCACCGAGTCCAAGTAATACACCTATAATGTAATTGGTCCCAAATTAAGACCCTGTGGACCCTAACTTAATCCCATTCTAGCAATTATAGAAGAGACCAAATGATTACCCTTTGACTCCTAAAATTAATAACACTTAGTTAAAAATTTCCAGCGGCTTATTAGACGTACTGAACAACAAATGACAAACATGAATGTAGTTTGATTTTGTGCTTTGTGAGAATGCTCTAAAACCTGTTCAAGAAAAATCCCAGAGTTGTCCTACTTTTGCGCATGCTATGCATGATCATCCATTTATGATTACAATGAACTTGGAGTTTTGAAGTACTGAATTATGGGATTTTTAAAGCTTGATCTAGCATCCAGGATATTTAGATTGGAGAATCTTTTCAGTTTACGTTGGACAAGTGTGAATAGGTAGCAAACCTTATATTGGGCAGCAGAAAAAGATAGGTTTAGGGGCTGAAAGAGAGTGTTTGTTTGTCTTAGGGATGTGAGAAGAACAGCACGTTTGATATTTCTTATTATCTTGGCACATATTGAATAATCTAAACACTTGCACAAATAGAAATAAAACCTGAACACTGCTATTAGACCAGAATTAGGACTCATGGACCCAAAAGGAGGCCCATTTTAGCAGTTTTAGAAAAGACTGAATTACAATCTATTAAAGCTAAGCTTAAATCAATGAAGATAGATTTGAATTTAAGCTCATGAGACATACTCTAATTCCCGCTTCATGTGAACTTCCATATTTTTGTGCTTCTTGTACACATGTTCCGCATCTGGTGAGTTTTGTGGTTTGCTACTGTACCAGTAATATATTAACAAGTGGTGAAATGCATGTTTTGATTATGCTTGTATGTTTACAAAAACATCCAGTTTGCTTTCAATATAAAGGTCAGAAGAGCTATGCTCTCCTATTGTTTGATTACTATCTTGAATCAGTAGAAAGGGGAAGGTGCTCTCCAGGTAAGCATTGTATATTCTTAATACTTGGGAAATGAGATCTAGTGAGGTTTGGGCTTCCCCTTTTTGAAGTTCTTTCCAGAAATTCATGTTTGCTTGTATGTACAAAAATTGTTTGGATTTTTACTTGCTGCAGTGATAGCTGTTATGGTTTTGTAATCTACTTGGTGGCTTGATAATTGACCAATTTATTTCGTTCACTTCTCGAATGCTTTTGAGCCTTGCATTTTTATACCAAGTTGTATGCATGCGAAAAGTATGGACAACCTTTTGTGATTCTTTTTTGCCAACAACACTGACTATACTTTTAGTATTGTACTGTAATTTCGTGCAGCTAGTTTCTCTTGATACTGGACATTCTATATGCTGTTACATAATAGTTTTAATGTTGAACAGGTTGGTGAATACCCTAAGCCATGCACTGCAGTCTTCAGGGGTAGATTTATCACAGACCAGCATATCTGTGCAACTTGATATTGGGAAACAAACAAATACTGGACTGACAGCTACAACATTCAGCAAAAAGGTTTGAGATATCCTTTCCCTTCCAAATTGCGCTTTGTTTTTCTACTGCTTTCAGTCTTTCTGTATTGTACATATGAAATCATATTTACCACTACTATTACCATGAAGATTGGTTTCATTTTAAACATACGGCTTGTTTAGACTCAATCAATCTCCTCCAAATCAAACCCCCCCCCTTTTTTTTTGTTGGGGGGGTGGGGGTTTGAACAAAAATATTGTATATATTCATATGATATCTACTAGATAAGTTTTGCTGTGTGTTTGAAGGGCCTTTTAGTGATTTTGGGTCAAACTATTCCCTTTGGACTGTACTCTTTCTCAAATGCGAATGATGTTCCATATGTGCAAATAACTTTGTACAAATAGTTTAGATTTTCCCTCCCCTTTTAACCTTTGGTTGAAAGGCCTTTTCTAGGGCGTCTTCAGTGGCGTGGCTTACAAGTTTCTAATTTCTGAACATTCAGGACCATGAAAACCCTTCTCCTAACACTCTAGCAATGGCGCACTATGGGTTTGAAAGCAATGAGGAATCAAGTCGAGCTCCTAAAAGGCTCAGAACAGAAAAAGGCTAGTATGGCATCATTGGTCCCTTGATAATTTTTCCATATTCTTCCTTGTCATTCTACATTTCCTTTGTCTGTTTTTTTTTCCTTGGGAAAGGATCGGGGTATTTATGCCATGCCATAGTCCACAGACGCCTCTGTCAGGACTAATTGTACATGTTTATGCGTTTTGATTTGTTCAGATGCCTGACTTCTCAAAGCAGAAGCTGTTATATATTTTCATTGTTCTTTTTATTTTCGATAGAGGCTTCCATGCAAATATTGAGAAGCTGCTCTTGTTTTCTGGAGGTCATTCAATTCAGAAGTTGGCTTTTTTGGCCCTGTTTTCTTGTTTTGGCTAAGTTTTCCACAAATTTCTGCATTCTTTCTCTAACAACCATCTTTATGTGCTACAAAAAACATTTTTATTTGTATTCAAACATTGGTTGTTTGATTTCCATCACTGTATAGTATGTTACTGCTAAAATCAAGCAAAGCTGATTATATTCCTTCACTCTTACCTTCTTGCTTAGTTAGACGATGTGAAGGATCGGCCCTGCTCCTCATACCTTCTCTTCTCCTTGATTTTCCATTGTATGTATGAAAGTGAAACATTAGTCTTTCACTTCAAGAGCATCTCTCTAGGTCTTTCTATCANACCCTGCTCCTCATACCTTCTCTTCTCCTTGATTTTCCATTGTTTGGATGAAAGTGAAACATTAGTCTTTCACTTCAAGAGCATCTCTCTAGGTCTTTCTATCAGGAATTAAATCCTAGATCATCCACTCAATTCTGGCCTCGCTTGATCGCTAAATCTTTTATTTTTATCTTTAACAAGTTGTAAACCATGCAATACATTCATAATCACGGTGGTTTCTATTTTTTAATTACCATGTTTGGGTATTTTTAGGAAAATGAGTGGTTTTGTTGTTCAGCGGTTGGATCAACTGACCTGAAAATAATTTGTTCAGTTTCGAAAGCTTTCATTTCTATTTAGCTAACGAAACACCAGAACATTTGAACCTGTTGGGCATGAGACTCATGGCTTTACCACTGTGATTTAGGATTTTTCTTGCATAAATAATTTGATTTAGAGTATTAGACCTGAGAGTTGCGAGTCCCTAATAGGATAGGGTCTTTCATTGGAATGGGGTCCGAATGGAAAAATGGGGTGAGTCGGATTTATCGCAGCTATCCAGGAATTTCAACTTTGAATTGAGGATTAATACTATAAGACTTATCTGATCTTACCAATTGTTAGAATTTTTTTTTTCTTGAATAAANGGAACATTTGAACCTGTTGGGCATGAGACTCATGGCTTTTCCACTGTGATTTAGGATTTTTCTTGCATAAATAATTTGATTTAGAGTATTAGACCTGAGGGTTGCGAGTCCCTAATAGGATAGGGTCTTTCATTGGAATGGGGTCCGAATGGAAAAATGGGGTGAGTCGGATTTATCGCAGCTATCCAGGAATTTCAACTTTGAATTGAGGATTAATACTATAAGACTTATCTGATCTTACCAATTGTTAGAATTTTTTTTTTCTTGAATAAATAATGACTTTTCTATGATAGTAATCACTAATAATAAGTAATAACCACCTCCCTCCCTCTCTCTCTGTAAAAAATGTATTAAATAGCAAAATATGTTTTGACAGATCAATGGAATAAAAAATGAAAAATTTCTTTGTTCTTTGGGCATGATATGTATCAACAAAAGCATATACCATGTATCACAGAATGAAAAATAAAAAAGTAGTACAAAGACAGCTCAATGATTAATACAAGTGGAATATGTGTATTCTAACTACTGAGAATGAGACGGCATCATGTGACTTCGTGCTGCCAAAGCAAACAAAATGGCTGGTGTGAGATACCTATCATAGGATATGACATGAGGTATGTGGTTGATAAAATACATTGTACATGGCAGAATTATTTCTAGTTATGTAAAAGACAACTAGTAGATGATGAAAGAGAATATGTAACTAACTAATCAATGGCATTACATAGTATGATATGTAACTAATAATCAATGGCATTACATAGTATGTTTTGCATTAGTAGCATAGTGCATGTGCCTTTTGTCACTAGAAGTTTTAGACAGGTCAAATATTGATGATCTTTTGAATTTAGAGAGACTGTATCTGTGACTTGAATATGTGAGGTTGACATGACAATGAAATAATTTTACTGTTGCGTTAATTCCCGTTTTTAGAATATTGGGAAGAAATGAGGAGTGTTTGGATAATGATTGACGGTGGTTAGGTGCTTCACACTTGTAATGTTGATACGTGTCTCAGAACACAACAATCTTCTTTTTCTTTGATCGGATCATGCCAAGCAAGACTCATGGCAATGGCATTGAAGGAGTCCATTTTAGGAAAAATGAGCTGCGAGAAGTTTTGGGCAATTCCTATCAACTGGAAGAATGATGAGTTATTATGAATATTCGGTGGAAACAAAGGGTTATACATTCTCTTGTCACTTATAAAATGTAGAGTAAATAACATTGAGACCCCCTCGAGGTTTCGTACCTCTCCCCCTCAGTTCTTCCTGCACCCCCAAACCGCTCTAGCCCTCAAAAAAAAAAAAACTCTCATCCAACACCCCTCATTGCCACCACACCCTTTCCTTGAAACCACTCATACCCCACCCCCTTGAGAGCCATACCCCAATAGTGGCCCTCACCCTCGATCCAATGGCCCCAACCCCGTCTCTCTTTCTCTGTGTTTAAACTTATCATGCCATTATTGTATATCATGTGTTAGATGTGATTTTCTTGGTGGGGATTTGAAACCCAGAGATCTGTAGTTTTGAGTTTTGGTTGGTAAGTGAAATGACATGTTGAGGTTGATTGTAAGTTTAACCTTAAACGATGAAGGTTCTTTGCAATTGTTAAAACCCAAGTGGTATAATGTATTTTCATTAAACCTCAGGGGGTGCTGGTGTAATTTTCTCTGAGATTAATGAGAAACAAGAAAACTTACGATAACTATTCATTGTCATTTTTACCTTTGTTGCTGAGAACAGATGCATTTGGCATCATAGAACATGAACATCAATACAAGCTTTTACTTATCAGAAGAAAAACATACATATAAACACATGTGAAATTCTTAGGAACATAACTGACAATAACAAAAACTTCAGGCCATGGAAATTGTGGATGTTTAGTCATTCTAAAACCTCCGGCTTGAAAGAATTGGTATTAGCAGCCTTTTGTTTACATCTCAGCTAATATGATAGTACCCTGCAATACCAGGGTTTCACTCTTTCTATAAATCAATCCAATTATCCAAAAAACTGTAAAAGAATGTATGTGGATAATGTCGCCCTCTTCGAAAGAACATCCTGGTACAGCCTCCCCAACATAATTTCTGAGGTAGAATGTATCTTCTCCAATCCAAAATCTACATGTAGAAGATCACTGGGAGATTAACTTACACAAGCAGTGTATGATAAAAGATAACCCGACATACTAGCAACAATGGGGATCATGTAATTCTCAATGATTCATCCAACGCTGGCAAGCACTCCTGCGGGTTGGCATAGAAGTAATCTTCTTCTTTTGGTCTATCCAAAATCACAACTCGGTTTTTTGGGCTCCCCAAACGATCAGCATGAGCTACCTTCACGATGGAGGAAAACTCATCCCAGCTCAACAAATGATCATGGTACTGGTCGATCGCATCAACTAGAAACTTTCTGTCCAATTGAAAAGTCTTCTTGAATCCTAAATACCTGCAAGAATTTAAACACACCAACACAATCATAATGGAATAATTAATTTTCAAGGCAAGGAAATGAAGTCCTCCACACCAACTCTGTCAACCCAAAGTAAGTTATATCAAATCAAACCAGTACTAACAAATTAAATGCTCAAATATGCGCAATTGAATCCTCCAATTCAACTTCAGAAAAGGCGTGGCTGCAGGAGTAAATGCTGTAGGTATAACTCAGATCTTTTTTACCCTTTTTATGCATAGAGAAGAAAAGAAATAAAGGAGGGAAAAAATCTAGCTAAACCAATTAGTCGGAAAATTAACATTTTCAACCATCAGTAGCAACTTATTAATTATTACCTCCGATGGCCTTCAACAACTTTAGCCATGTTTCCATAATATGTAGGAACAAATATATCACTCTCCAAGGACACAAGATAATCCAGTGCAGCCATCTGGGATGAATGGTTTTCAAAGAACCTTAAATCTGAGGGCTCCAGCAATGTCTCCTTTCTGACCTGTTCAAAACGTTAAAGCAAAATCTTACAGTATGTAACGAAAAATGTCAAGAAGTCAAATCTGCTTCCAGTTACTCACCAAATTTGGGAATGCAGCCACCAAACTTGCCATTCTTCTTCCTCCCCCATATATTTCACCAGCAGCAATATAGATTTGAATGTTGCGATCAATACCCAGTGCACTTAGTATTACAGCAGTTTCTTCAGGGTTCAAGGGACACAAACCTTCTTTCCTTTTGAGATCAGAATCTATGACTTTTTCCTTCCACCAAGGGTAAGCATATCTAGTGGTGTGTGCTTTTCCCGAGTCAGTAATAGGATGATATTGCGGAAAAGAAGAATAGATTAAGGATTTGTTTCCTGAAGAAAAGCAAAGTTACCTCATTTTTGTCAATTCCTCCACCTCTGCACTGTTGCAGCCTTGAGTGCAACCAGAGAAAGCCAACATATCCATCTCATATCTGAGATGGAGGACCAGGAAAGGGCCACTTTGCTTCAGAATCCTGACGACTTTTCTACCCAATTCCTCTATCTGGGAAGTGAATCTCAGAGCACTATAATTTACTTTACAACGCAACTTCTGGATCTCTAAAGGCAGCCCATTATTAGCCAGTCGAGCATCGGTTTTATTCAAATGTACAACTTTATACTTTTGTATCAGAGGAAGAATCTGTTTACAAACATTTCAGGTGGTTAGTTGCAGTACTGGCTATAAAACTGGTAAATGTGAAGCTAAATGGCCATTTCTAGCTCTATGAAATAGCAAACCAACCTGNATTTACAAACATTTCAGGTGGTTAGTTGCAGTACTGGCTATAAAAATGGTAAATGTGAAGCTAAATGGCCATTTCTAGCTCTATGAAATAGCAAACCAACCTGATGACTATAATAGGAAATGTCAGACCAACTAATGGGTGGCAATGAGTAGAACCTTCCCAACTCAACTCTTCTCTTGAGCCTCGGCGGCAGCTCTTTCAATATACGAACTTCATCCCTCAAGGATGCAATGAAATGATCAACATCAAATATGTCATTAAACTCACTGCCACATGGAAAAAAAAACGTTGTAAACACTCATGTACAGCGCTAATTCAGAATTTAGGGTAGTCAAGCTGATAGATTCCCGCTACTACTTAGATTGTTTACCACATAATAAATAAAACCCACCTTGTATCAGCCCAANTATGTACAGCGCTAATTCAGAATTTAGGGTAGTCAAGCTGATAGATTCCTGCTACTACTTAGATTGTTTACCACATAATAAATAAAACCCACCTTGTATCAGCCCAAAATGAGGTTTTATCCAATTCTGGAACAATAAGCGTGACATTCAGGTATCTGGCAATGGCTACCATGTCACAGATCTGAACAGCAGATGAGGAAGTGAATGAGAGATAGCAGTACATGAACACACCAACAGAAAATAATATGAAACCCAAATGGAAAGCAAAATTCGTAACAAATTTCCATTATAATAAAAAGAACTAGCAACTCACTGCTGCTCGCATTTGGTTGAGTCCTCCATTGCAAGAAACCATAAGGTAACCATTGTTTTTATAGACCCCTGCAAGTAAGAACAATCAGATTCCACATGATAATCAAAACTGAAAAATACAGGAGGACAATCCGAAAATACAAACTGAATTGACAATAGAACATCACAATGTAAAAGGCTTTGACAGTTAAGTGACCGAGTTATCAAATTGAGGGCCAAGAAAATCCTCAATAAAACAGCTATGAAAACTCTGTGGGAAGATTTTTGGTAAGAAAAACAGAACTTCTCATTATAAACACTGGAAGTCGAATAAGCACGATCAAACTATACTGTATTATAAAACTTTGATAATAGAATTTCCATTTTTGTGGACTAAGATGCATATACAGTAATCGAAAACAAGAATCTACCAAATCAAAAATAAGCAATACGAACAGGGGACCAGTTGCAGTGAGCAATTTTTTTATGACACCAAAATTAAGTTGCAGAAAACTACCAATTACAGTGGTGTGAGTTTCCAAATCAGATACTGGTAATATAAAAATTCTACCAAAAACCAATTAACAAATTATTGCTCAAAACACCGGTACTCCAAAGTCTGAAACAAATGTGCTTACTTTTTGGAGGAAGAACTTTGGGTGGAACAGAAGACATGTTAACCTCAGGAAACATATCAGGAGTAGTAAAACAAGAAGGCCAACTCTTCAACAATCTAGGTCCCCACACTTCACCCATCGTTAGCAACCTCAAAACACAAGTCCACAGCAACAGTGTCATTATTCCCCTTAAAATCCACAGCAACATCATGCCCCTAGACCCCATCACATTCGATTTCCCCTCTTTTCCATCTTCCAAAAACTTCAAGTCCTCATCACAACCCTTTAGTATGCACATTGTAAAACCATCACTTGTGCAACAAAAATCACAGAAAAATGACCCTTACAATTGATCAGAACCTTTGAAAATTACTATTGGAGTTTCGATAGTAAATCGGGCAATGGAAAAGAAGAAAGAAAACCCAGTTCTAAGATGCTGCTAAGACTAATTATATATACAAAAAACTCTTGAACACTCTACTGAACCAATTATTTTAATGCTATCTTTACGAAAAACAAGACGAATCTATGGACTTCAACTCAATCTCCTCGAAGCCCAAAAAACCATAATAGCAGTATAATTATATTGTAATTAATAAAAGCACTTCAATTACATTAACTTAATACTCTAAAAAGACGCTTGAACTCTCATTCTCATCAACACCCATTAACCATACGATCTCGTCTAACCATACATTCCTCAAATCTCGTATTTGAAGGCAAAAATGAGAAAAATAAATAAATAAATTACAAATTGGGTAACCCTTTTGGGAGATGAGATTTAGAGTTTGGAAAAGTCCGTCGCTTTGATTTCCGGCGTGTTGCTGCCGGAAAACTGGAGAGAATGCACGCAATGCAGTGGGAGAGGGAGAGAGAGAGATAGTAGTGGAGGTGAGAACTCAATTAACTGGCCGTAATTACGGCGACGGTGTTGTTTGTTGTGGGTGGTGATAGAGCGTGCGATTTGGGGTAGTGTTTCAACTATGGTTAATTTGGTAAATAACCACTGTAACTAAAAGTTATTTTATAAATTTATTTTTTTATTAGATTTTGATAATTTAGGTTCAATTCTAAAATATTAAAATAAAAATAAGTTTCCCAGGATTATAACTTGAATCATAACAAATGAATTTAAGTCCGTAGATTTTGGCTTAAGATATTTATAGTTTTTATTACTTAAATAATATAATAAATTTTTGCATATTTGACCTTGTGATTGGACAAAAACAATAATACTAATGATCCGTTTGGTAAGAATAATGGAAAGTAGGAAAAATGAAAAGTAGGAACAATGAAAAGTAGGAGAGATATATTTTCTATCCTTTAAGGGTAGAAAACAAAAATGATACACTTTTCTTCCTTTGTGTTTAGTTGGTTGGATGGATGAAAAATAAAAACGACCAATTTTTTTTTAAAATCTTTTTTTGTTTAATATTATGGGTGACAATCGAGTCGAGTCGTGTTGAGTCATAAAATTATGAATTTTTTATATTTCTTATTCGCGTGTTAGGTCATTTTCAAGTTCGTGTCGAGTTATAATCAAATTCGTGTCATAAAATTCATGTCGAGTTTGAGTCGAAAATTTTCACCTCAAGTTAAGATGAAAAAAATATTTTTTTTAATAATTTTTAATATATATATATATATATATATATATTATGTATTTTTATATGAAATTAATGTATACATTATATATAAACAAATAAGATACATCTTAACACAAATAATTAACTTTTCATCCACTTTCTTTCCGATTTTGGAGGGATTAATTTTGTTGAGTTGGAAGAAAAATTAATCCATCTATTTTTTTATCCTTCTTATTTTCTTTCCTTACTAAACATGATATTTTATTTATCCCTTCACCTTTCCATCCTTCCAACTTTCTATCCTTTCATTTTTCTATCATACCAAACGAAACATAAAGAATAGTTTTTATTATCATTATTTAACCTTATTTTAAAATAATATTTTATATTGGAAACGCTTTTTTCTTTTTATTTTTTTGGGAGTTAAATAGGTTTTTACCGGGAAGAAATGGGTTTTACCGTTAGATTGGGCTCGAATTACGAGGTTTACATTTGTCAAATGATAGCTGGCACATGTGACATTATTTTGGGACAAGATTATGGTACTAAAATAAACATTTTCGTATTTTCGTACCTCAAAATTTAATAATTTTGATGGATTTTGACATAAGTTTTGAGGTTTATTTATAATAAAAAAATTTTATAAATTTTTTCAGGACCAAGGACTTGTTCAACATTNTATAAATTTTTTCAGGACCAAGGACTTGTTCAACATTATGATTTAACACGTCAGCTAGCCGTCCATTAATGCGAGTTAAATTGTCCATTAATACGAGTTCAACAAAAAAATCTGTCCATTAATGAGGGAAATAATGTTATGTTTATTAAATTATTTATTAAATTTTGTATTTTAAATTAGCATTGGATTAACAGAGTCCACTAATTTTTACTAAACATTCGATGCATAGAATTTTGACATAATATATAAATATTTATTTGAAAGTTCATATTTTTTTTAGAAATTAATCAAGTAGGACAAATTTCCTTTGCCAATCACGGGAATCAAGATAGACAATACTTTTGGATATGAANTATTTTTTTTAGAAATTAATCAAGTAGGACAAATTTCCTTTGCCAATCACGGGAATCAAGATAGACAATACTTTTGGATATGAAAAAAAAAACAAGAAGATGTTTTTCATTGATGACTTGTCTGGGTATAACCAAAGAAAAAAGAATTCAAACACGACGAAAGATACACGCCCTTTAGAATTCTATTCGATATGTAATGTTGGAGATTGATGTCATTCGGTCTTCAAAATGCTGGCGTCACCTACCTTACTAGATTAAGTGAAAATCAATTGATTCTACGAAGGCCAAGATGGTTCCCAAAATAGCAGAAAGATCTAAGTCAACCTCAAAATTACAGAGCCGGTTGAAATCATCAGCAATTCTTAGATGATTCATTGAATGTTTGGTTAAGAAAAAAATAATTAAATTCGACATGTTCTACATACCAAGGGATCATCTCATTCTCGATTTATGTCGAGAGCTAATTAATCCTAAATTATTAATTTCATATCGAATTTATGTAATGTTAACATTTGTGTTAAAAATGGCCACCGAGTCTTATCCACAGGCTCAATGCAACCTTTTTTTTTTTTAATGGAAAAAATAATTCTTCACGAAAAAAGAAAAGAAAGTAAAAGTGCTTATTATTACTACTGCTTAAAGTAAAAGGTAACTGTAAATCACTTTTCATCGTAGCTATAAATCAATTTGTGATTGAGAAATATTGGTAGTAGTGAAATTACTTTCAACCTACCTTTGTTTTGGTTGCCTTTCTTTCCAATTCATAAAAATAATTGTAGAACTGATCTTCAGAAAGATGTAAATTATTATTATTCTTTTTTGAAAAAAAAAACACTCAATTATACTCATTTTAACTCAACAAAATTTTAATTTCAATTATTTAAAATCGGTCACTTGAATCATGTTTCTCGATTTTCACTCTACTGAATGTTATTCGTATATTCTGTCATTTTTCCTTCTAAACACTCGATGATACATACGCAAAATTTGAATGATTGGTTAGCCATAAATTGAGTTGTTATATTACCATCTTTACCATGTTAATAATTTTTTGAATCATTGCAGATGTGAGATATAGATAACTGATTAGGTTAGTACAACTTTTAAATTTTTGAGGTTGACTTAGATCATGTACAACTTTTAAATTTTTTTTTAGGGATTATATACAACTTCTAGGGTTTTTTTTTTTGTAAACAATAGATCCTTCATATTACATTAAAGAGTCACACAAGGAACATCTCTAAAATAATTGAATGTGGGAATAAATGTGGGTGCAATTTAGGGAAGACCCCCCATTCTATCATCAATGACTAAAGGTTGGTAGGTCTCTAGTGGTTTTACTATTTATCACATTTATAAGAACATCTCTAGCTATAACTCAAATTTTTATTTAAATTTAAGTTAATATTTGAGTAATAAGTTTGATTTAATATAAAGGGCTCTAATAGACAAATTCAAATTTCAAAAAAGAAAAACCCAAATTTAAATGTAAACAAACTCAAATGTAAAAGAGAGTAAAGATGACTATTAGATCTTTAAAAGAGGGTGAAATTTCACTATTAAAGATTTGATTCTCCCTTAATTTGATATAAGTTTGAGTCAAATGTTAGAGTAAGTCTTTGGATTTTTTTACTTAAATTTAAATTTGAATCTAAATTTAAGTCGAGATTGAAGGTGTTTTAAGGGGACCAATCTCCCTGATAAATGTAACCAACCTAAAAATGACGATAAATTTTTCACTGTTATGTGGTGTACGTCACCAATAAAAAAATTGAACATGTCCAATGAATAGCGGTCATTTTTCATTTGATTTTTGTTAAAAAAAATTCAAGTGTGTCCCATAAGTTATTTTTTTTAGCAGTCTCTCATTGGATGTGCCACACCGCATAACAATGCCAGGTGATGTACCCATACAAAATTTACTCAAATGTCACCTACTATTGTCCCTTCATTCCTTCTTATGTGGCTATGGATCGGGAAAGGTTGCATGTAGTAATGTCGGACACCTTGAATTTAGCTTGGAATGCGAAATGAACGGTTGGTTTGACCGAAATGTTGTAGCACACAGGNGATGCGAAATGAAATGAACGGTTGGTTTGACCGAAATGTTGTAGCACACAGGTTGACTTTTCGAAGAAAAAGTAAAGTAGTGAGTGAACCTAAAAATAAGTGCACCTAAAAATTAATAAATTTTATCCAAAAAAAAAATAGTAATCGACACGATCCCAAAATTATTTTGGGTATCGTAATCACTATACAGCTAGTATAATCTTCCCCAGCATTGTTTTTTCTTGTTTTTGGGGAGGAAACACACACACACACACACACACACACACACACATATATATATATATATATTGCCTGAACAGGCTAAGCAAGGCATACACACACACACACACACTCTCTATGGTGAAGACAAACATGATGCACCCACATTGTCAGTGTTAAATGAATAGACATAGCTTTCTTATTTATTATTTAATTGTTTTGATAGTGAATATGAAGACTGTAATAAATTTCACTGGTTTTTTTTTTTTATATTTTTTCTGTTTTTCCCCCCTCTAGGAATACATCAACATCTAACACATCAATGAATTTGGTATCTTTATGTTGGAGATGTTTTGTCCCAACTCCACTTNTTTATATTTTTTCTGTTTTTCGAATACATCAACATCCAACA